CAAAAACATTGAATCAATGGGACTACACCTGCATACACACCAGTCTCTGATGTGAATAAATGAAAAATTAACATTGATAATGAATCAATGAAGATAAAGAGTAGTTTAACTGACCTTTTCCAATGCATCCATGACATTATATGGCAGATGGTCATTCATCATAACAGGTGAAACAATGACTTCATCAAAAGATCTATTGTCCACTAATATAGCATGATATATAGCCCCATTTCTTATACACCTTAAAGTAGAAATATTTACAATGTTAGCAAAGTTAGCAGTCATGAGTATTATTAAACTAGATGCAAATATATCCATGTATCACAGATGACGTCCAGATGATTCCAGAAAGAAATGACCAGTACAAATAAACTTACCCCAAATCTTTGGGATGGCTGCGGACAATGTGGATGATTTTTCCGGGAGGAAAAAGTGGTACATGTGTAGATAATAATATTGATAAATCACTGGGATGAACAGCAACATCAACTCTAGTTGGTGATGGAGAGAAGTCATCTCCAGCTGGCAGCATATTCTCTTCACTAATATTACAACAACAGAACAGACCTGCTAAGATGATACGCCACTGAAACAAAGTAAATGATAATTTATGCAAAATAAGCAAATCTCCTAGTCTTACTACCGGTATATATTCCGTTTTCTGAGAGTGTTAAAAATAAGTTGAAGTCTAACAAACATTCAAAAAACAAAAAGAATGGTACAATACAGACAACTACTAGGCTATGGTACAAAATGTTGTATACTAAATCATAGAAATATTACTTGACCATAGAAACACACCGATAATGTACATGCATAAATAGAGCAAATACGGTATTCCAGCCATTTTATACCTAAGTTAACTCTTCAATATGAAGCAGTTGCCAAAAGAGACATTTAATTGGTTGAATGACTATCATGTGATACAAACAAAGGTATTTCATTGGTTGAATTATCATCACAATACTAATTAGCATATTTCAATGTATCTATTTCATTGGTTGAATCACTATTCCAGTATTCCAGTGGTTGAAATTACTAGCACATGTCACAAATACGAGTATTCCACTTGTTGAAAGACTTACTTTAGGATCTTGACTCCTTTTAATACAGGATATAAGATCAGATCTCATATATTCCATCTGTGCTAATCCTAATCTAATCACTAAATCTTTACCCACTACAACAGAGGTTATGAATGATTTGGTGTATTCCACAGCTGACATACTGCAACAAACACACAATACACATATAGCAACAATGTTAAAATAACTTAAAAATAATTTTCCAGGATCACACAGAATTTTTTTAGACTGCCATTTCATGGCTTGGGTTCAGATGTCATTCTTTCACTGACTTGTCTGTGTTTGTGTTGTGTTGTTTGTGTCTCTTGTACAGCGTTTTTTGTCCATGGACTTATACTTTCCCCCATTAGACATATGATTTGGATATTGGATTGGTATGATTGTTATTTCTATTTCAAATACACAACTCAAATCTGAAAGTTTATATATGACAGCAGGAAATATTTTATGTGGAAAAATTGGTTTAGAGAATCAATACCAAAAACCTATACAGCATTTTTATTCTGAATAAAACAAACACGGAGTGGTATATTGTAAATATTCATATACAAAACAGTTATTACCTTAAAAGTCCACCTGGAGGTGAATATGAATAACAAAATAGAGACGGGAATTCAGGTCTCAATAATATGGCAAGAATAGCAGCTGTACCTGCACCCAATGAGTGACCAACTAGCACCAAGTCATACGTATGTGTTCCTTTCTCCTGAAGAAAACAAATCATATACATTGTAATGTCCAATATACATTATGGTTACATTTGGTATTGTAAGTGGTAAGTGTTTTGGAATCGCAATGAGTCCAACCTCATGTTGCCATGGCAAATAAATGAACAAACCTTATCATGACCAAAAGCCCGTGCAAGTATCATTTCATTTTTCAGTCTTCTTTTTATATACATGGCAGCCTCAACCATTCCCTGAATAAATAATCGTATTTTAGTTTTCCAGTCGTGGG